CTCTGAGCTGTCAGCACAGAGCCCGATGCGGGGCTTGAACTTGTGAACTGTGAGATCATGACCTGAGTCAAAGTCGGATGCTTAACCGACTAAGCCACCCAGGCTCCCCTTTTTGGGGAAGCTTTAAATCACATATGTGACTTCTTTAGCTTTGAATTTTTTCAAGGTCATCTTGACTATTCAACTTTGCATTTCCGTGTGTGCATGTACATGCATGTGCGGGTCTGTGTGTGTATGTATGCATGCCAAGTTGTCAATATGTAATTTTTAAAATTGTGTTGGGATCTGGACTGGAATTAAATGGGATCTACTGGTTTTCTTGGAGAGAACTAACATCTTTACAGTATTTAATCTCATCCATAAATATAGTCTATTTTTTCTCTCAGCAGTGTTTTTTGAGCTCTTGGTGTACGGGTCTAGCACATCTTATTCATTAAACTTATTCCAATTTGATGTGTTTTTAATGTATTGTAAGTCATATTTTTTGCACTTTCCAATTTTTTGCATTTCTCTTAAAATACAGAAATGCAATGATTATATTGAACTTGTATCCATGATCTGGCTAAATTTGCTTGCTCTAGTACTTTCTTAAAAAATAGATTCTTTACGATTAATGTGCCACTGATGCTGGCTATGAATGAAGTTTTGCCCTTTTTAAAAAAATTCTCTCAGAGACACAGTGTGCATGCATGTGGGGGAGGGGGCAGAGGGAGAGAATTCTTTTTTTTTTTAAATATAATTTATCGTCAAATCGGCTAACATACAGTGTGTAACATGTGCTCTTAGTTTTTGGGGTAGATTCCCATGACTCATCACTTCCATAAACCAGCCAGTGCTCATCCCAACAAGTGCCCTCAATGCACATCACCCATTTCCTCCTCCCCCCCCACCCCCATCAACCCTCAGTTTGTTCTCTGTATTTAAAGAGTCCCCTGTGGTTTGCCTCCCTCCCTCTCTGTTTCTAAGGATTTTTCCCCTTCCCCTCCCCCATGGTGTTCTGTTAAGTTTCACTCAAGTTCCACATGTGAGTGAAAACATATGATATCTGTCCTTCTCTGCCTGACTTATTTCACTCAGTGTTCCAGTTCCATCCACGTTGCTGCAAATGGCAGGATTTCATTCTTTCTCATTGCCAAGTACTATTCCATTAAATATATAAACCACATCTTCTTTATCCATTCATCTGTCAATGGGCATGTGGGCTCTTTCCATACTCTGGCTATTGTTGATAGTGCTGCTGTGAACATTGGGGTGCATGTGCCCCTCTGCATCAGCACTCCTTTGTCCTTTGGATAAATTCCTAGCAGTGCTATTGCTGGGTCGTAGGGGAGCTCTTTTTTTTTTCCCTCTCTAAATTTTTTTGAGGAACCTCCACACTATTTTCCAGAGTGGCTGTACCAGTTTGCATTCCCACCAACAGTGCAGGAAGGTGCCCGTTAAGAGAAAGAATTCCAAGCAGGCTCCAGGCCCATCTCAAAGCCCAACTCAGGGCTCCACCCCGTGACTGTGAGATCATGACCTGAGCAGGAAACAGAAGCAGCCGCTCACCCCCTGGGGGCCCTGGCAGTTTTGTCCTTCTGGTCCAATCTTCTAATTATTGATTTCTGCCTTCACGCAGTTGGCCGGGACATGCAGTGCCGGGTTGAACGGGGGTTCGAGAGTGCGTGTCCTTGCCCTGTTCCCCCTCTTAGAGGGGAGGGGAGCGGCCAGCTGGCCACCATCAGCTGTGACGTCTGCGCTGGGTTTCTGAGGTGCTCTCAGCCCGAGGAAGTTCCCTTGTCAGTTCGCCAGGATATTTATCATGAACGATGATCTTACTGTGTCTGTTTTTTCCAGCATCTGTTGAGAGGACTGTTGTGAATTTTCTCCTTCGTTCTGCTAATAGGAAATTATAGACGATTTTCAAACCTTGGCTTAACCCTGCATCCCTGGAACAGGCCCACTCGGTTACGCTGTGGTAGCATTAGGTTTAGAATGTGGTAGGTTTAGAATGCTGCTGGATCCGGGTCGCTAATATTTTGTTCAGGAAGTTTGCATCCATGTTCACGAAGGGAACTGATCTGTAATTTTTGTCAGATTTCAGCACAGGGTCTCACTGGTCCTCCTGAGTCAGGAAGTGGGTTCCAGGGCCGCGTCCTAAAGACTCTGTTAGATTCACTAATGAATCCGCAGGGCCGGGGGTTTTCTGGGTGGGAAGGTTTTTGACTGAAGTCAATTTCCTTAGTAGATGTAGGACTGTTAAGATTTTATTTTAAATGTTTATTTGAGAAAAAGCGCATGAAGGGGGGGAGGGAGGGGGAGAGAGGGAGGGAGAGGGAAAGGGAGAGACACCCCCAAGCAGGCTCCACACTGTCAGCACAGAGCTCTAGATAAGGCTCAATCCCAACGAGATCCGTAACCTGAGCCCAAATTAAGAGCCACCTTGATGGCGCCCACCCAGGCACCCCGGGACTGTTCATATCTGTTTCTTCTTGCACTGGTTTCATAAAGTTGTTTCTCAAGAAACGTGTATATTGAATCAAGTTTATTGCCATGAAGTTGTTCGTGGCACCGTTTTGACATCTGTAAGATTTCATCCTTTCCGGGGGTGCCCAGTCGGTTCAGCTTCCAACTTCGGCTCAGGTCATGATCTCATGGTTTGTGAGTTCGAGCCCCACATCGGGCTCTGTGCTGACAGCTCAGAGCCTGGAGCCTGCTTCCAATTCTGTGTCTCCCTCTCTCTCTGCCCTCCCCTACTCATGCTCTGTCTCAAAAATAAACATTAAGAAAATTTTTTTTAAAAATTTCATCCTTTCATTCCTGAAATTGTTATTGATAATTTGCTCCTTTTTTCTTGATTTGTTCTACTCGAATTTACCAATCACTTTACAGAACCAGCTTTTGGCTTTGTTGATTCTGTTTTCCATTTCATTGATTTTGGTCTTATCTTTGTTATTTCCCTCCTTTATTTATTTTGGTTTAAATATGGAAGTTTAATTTTAAATGTTTCTTCCAGTACAGGCATTTAGGGGCACTGGGGGGCTCAGTTAAGCATTGAACCCTTGGTTTTGACTCAGGTCATGGATCTCCTGGTTCATGGGATGGAGCCCCATGTCAGGCTCTGTGCTAACAGCATGGATCCTGATTGGGACTCTCTCCCTCTCTCAATATGAATAAATTCTAAAGAAAAAGAATAAATTATAAAGCCCTTTAAAAAACAGAGGCATTTAAAGCCGTCACTTTTCTAAGGATTGCTTTAACTGCATCCCATGAATTTTGTATTTTCTAATTTCCTTTGTGATACTTTTATTTGACCCATAGGTTATTTGGAAGTAATTTTTAAATTGCAACAATTTCAATTTGGGGTTTTTAGACAATTACTGCTGTTGATTTCCGATTTAAGTGTGGCATGGTCTGGGGATGCGTTCCGGGAGATCTGAATCCTTCCACCCTTGTTCTGTGGTGCAGCGTACGGCCCAGCCCCGAGGACACCCCACGTGCATTGAAAAAATGGGCTCTTCTGCTCTTGTGAAGGGAACGCTATCAGGGCGCCGGCGGGCGGTGGGGAGTGCTCTGCATGCCGGCTAATTCTGTGCTCACCGAGAGAAGGGTGTTCACGCCTCCCAACCACTGGGGACGCGACTGTTTTCTCCTGTGGCCCCTCCACGTTTGCCTCGGGTCTCGAATCTCTATCCAGTGCTCTCTCCTAGGAGGATTAAGTCTCGTGAGTTAGTAGCAGTATTGCTGGGAGCCAAGGTGCCTTTCTAGGACTGTGCACACCGTGTTTGTGCCTGGAGCGGGGGCTGTTGTGACACGGACAGCGACACGACCCACTGCCCCCCACCCCCCTGCTTCTCCCTTGGTGCTCGTATATTTAACATGCGTCTCTTGTAGGTGATGCACGTGATGGCCTCTGTGCTGTCTTCTAGGGACATCTGTCATGGTACTTAGGGCCCTCCCTCAGCCAGGGTGACCTCAGCTGGAGATCCCAACTCGCGCCCCCCACCCCCCGACTGGGGGACAGGCCCTCAAAGGGCCACTGCTCAGCCTGCTACAGCCGCTGTCACATGTTCACAAATTCTTTCTGAATGTTTCCACGAGAGCCCAGCCAGCAGCCGAAACTCTTCACAGCCACCCAGCCAACCCAGGACAAAGGAATCCCCTCCACTTTACAGAGGCCTTGGGCCACCTCTAGTCCAGGGCACGGCACCCCACAGCTCTGGAGTCCTACGCGCACCCACTGTCATGCTGCAGCTGAGAGGCAAAGCACAGAGGAGCCTCTCTGCCTCGTCTCCCGGGGCCCCGGCGTTGCTGTAAGAGATGCAAACACTCCAGGCAGCAGAGACGGCTGCTGTGTCTGGGTTTCCATCCACGCCCTCCCCAGCCATGCGGAGAAAGTACCCTTTCCTCTTCCTAAGGAATCTTCTAGAAATGGACAGAAGTCACGCACTTTTAATTCAGATGTTAAAATCACATCCAGTTCCAAGGTTCTCATGTGAGAGCAGCCGATACGTTCTCATCTTCGAAGAACAAATCACCAAGACCAAAGTGATCTTGAACTTTGGCAGTAATGGGGGTGGTGCAAGCTGTGGTTGGCATCACAGAGCCAGCACCCAGAGCAAGCTTTGTCCTCTGCTGAGACACAGCTGGAGGCTGAAATCCTATTTGACGGGCTTCTAGGACAAGATAAACATTTGTTGTACCAACTGAATTCAGGTTTTGGAAGCCAAGGCAGGGAAGGCATTGTCTGTTGAATGGGTCCCAGCTCATCTGGTGGCTCTCCCAGGACCAGTCATGGTGGACCTTCTTCAGGGCACAGAGGAAATACCGAAGGCACAGAGTGGCCACTGTCAAGTAAGGTCTCGGAAATCATCATCAAGAACAGGAAACGAAACACCTGTGTTAAAGTAACTTGATGGGCGCTTGGGATGAATGGAGAGCGAATCCAAAATGGCCCTGTGTTATTTCACAGGTCTGTCCCACCAGTTAATGTTGGATAAAGGAAGGAAACAAGACATCAGTCTTTAATAAAGGAATTTACTATTGACAAGGTGAAAACGCCTGGTTATGTGTGACATTAAATAATTTATGTGTATTTCTGACAGGATTTGACTGCAATCTTTCACGTGTTTGCAAAAGCAGAATTCAACCTCCCACTCTTTGTTATGGCCGAGCCTTCTGGAAGTTGGGAACACACCCTCTCCGTAAGCATAGTCACGGAGGCATGCGGCCACCTGGCTGTACATTCCCAGAGCACCCCAAATCTGGACCTTGCACGACGCTTAGGGGCTGCAGACGAAGCCCAGGGCCTGGTCAGAGCTTTCATCTGGAGACGCCAGAGCTGCTACCAAAATTCGGCCAAAGACCATCTGAGACCTCAGGGTGAGTGAGGCTCAGAACAGGGTCCAATTCCAAAATCCCAGAGTCCAACAGTCCCTCCGAGGCTGGACTCACGGCAGGTCCATGGGGGGACGGGCCCCTGGCCTGTGCGGCAGGTGGGTGCCCCTCCATAGCCCGTAACCATGCCAGAGCTTTCCCTGCCGGAACCCAAGGGAATGAGATCTCCATATTATAGTACAAATGGATAAAAGTTCTTTTTTGCAAATGTTTAGTTCCTTACAGCTACTAAGATGTTCTTCAGTTCAGTAACAAAGCACCATCTGCATCTACACCTGGTGTGCACTCGAGATGCCGACGCCTGAAACGCTGGTTCACGGAAATGATGCATACTCACTGGGAGGTCAGATCGCGCGCTCGCTCAGACGGAACCGTCTGTCCATGACCTTTGGTGGGCAACATTAGTTAGGCTTCTTCATTAGAAGAATTTTGCCTTTTAGTTAAAAAGACAAGACAGAAATTCGGAGCTTGCTTCAGCGAGCCCAACCCGTGTGCACACACCCTGATCACAGTTCTGTCCCCTCCCTGGTCACCTGCTCTGTGAAGGGGCAGCAAGGGCAGGCACAAATCTGCTCAACCACTAAGTGGTCATTAAAACCCTCCTCTTGTGAACTTTTCTGCACCAAGAAGCCGACCTAAGGCCGCAGGTAGGTCTCCCGTAAGCCTGAGGCTTAACGTGTATGCGCTGACCGAAGGGAGTAGAGAAGGCGGAACCAGAGAAATGAGGTCTGCAGGTCACGTGTGATCTGGCTAAATCCCTTCTAACTGGCTTGGTGCTGCTCCTGGTCAGGGACTCTGGAAACTTCTAGACAACACGCAACTTCACGGAGGTTATTAGCGAGTGGATTCATCTGTCTTTCTGAGAAGCACCCCCCACCCGTAACGCGGTTGGCACGGTTTCATCAGGAAAGTGTGAGAGAGCGCGTTATGTGCTTTGGGCCAAGGAGCCCGACAGGCACGTGCAGGGGACACAGCGCCCCCCACCTTCTCCGGGGGCAGGCAAGGGGGGAAGGCGTGTAGCCCTCAGAGCACAGCCCCGCTCGGCACATTCGCCCGCATTTACTCGACCTTCCAGATGGCGATCTTCCCCTCCCCGCTGCCCGACCCGCTCAGCACATATCTGTCCTCCGCTGAGCACAGCGTCTTCACCACGTCAGCGTGGGCCACCAGCTCCTTTTCCACCGTCTTCCTCTTGGCATCGATCACATAGATTTTCCCTGTGGATTTGCCCTGTGACAGACTCGTGCCGCCGACCCAGATCTGACGGGGAGAGACAGAGGCGGTATCAGCCACATGCGGCCCAGCCCGGGAGGGCCCTGCCTGGGTGCACTGGGGGGGCAGGGAGGCGCACCCCCAGACCTTCCTGGACCGGCCTTGAGCGGACGTGACCAGGGTGGGAGCTGAGGGGAGGGTACTCTGGGGAGACGTGGCCCCGGCCGTCCATACCTGCTGCTTGACCCTGATCATGCAGCTGACCTCGGAGCAGCCCTGCAGGGGCACCCGCTGAGGGGGCCGGGCCAGGTCCCTCAGGCTCCAAATGTAGACGCTGTCACACCCGGCGCACGCCGTCCAGAGCTGCTCCTGCTGAAACAGAAACTGTGGTGTGGCCGGTGGCCGCAGGCCAATCCAGAGCGTGGCCAGAGGGCACTGCCGGGGTGGGTACCTCGGGGAGGAGCTGGAAACTCAGGAAGGAGGTCCTCATCTCCTTAAAGTTCTCGTCGACCTTTAGTTCTTGGACGACAAGTCCACCGGTCGTCACGGCCACGATGCTGCTCCCTGTGCCTGCAGCAGAGAGCCAGCGTGAGGGGAGGAGGGCGCACTGGGGCCACCGGACAGGCCTGCGCACAACCGGCTGCTGCCAGCGCTCCCAGGGACCTGGTGACCGTCCGCCCTGCGGTTCCGCCAGGACCCCGCGGCCCCTCCTGATGCTCTGCAAACGTGGACATTCCGGATCTCCTACCACTAGAAGGCGCGGCCAGCCCTCACCCGTGGGTGCTCAGAAGTACAGGTGGCAGCGCCACAGGCCACTGAATGCTTCTTTTTATCAATGAAAACGTCTTCATGCAAACCAAGCGTCACCAGGCCCCGTGCAGTGAGAGCACGAAGACGCCGGCTGCGGGGCAGACCCGGACTCATCTGTACAGAGCGCCAGACATGCCGCAAGCCCGTCCTTTCCTGCATGGCTGCCTGTCCCCGGTGCTGTGGCCACTGGGCCAGCCTTGCACACACGGGGACAGGAGGGCACGGCCCCATCCCTGGGGAGCACCTTTGGGGTGTAGAAGGAGGGTCTGACCTCGGGAGAACAGCAGCCTGTGAGGTGGAAGGTGGGAGCGGTCCTGGGGTGTGCGGCTCTGGCTTCCTGTCCCTGGCGAGCGGACCACGGGTTCCCCCCCACCGCCATGACACGGACACAGAGGACCCCTTCTGGCCACGGGCCTCCCAGGACGGGAAGCCAAGCCAGGTTTTCCGTCCTAGGAGGTGAGAGCTGCTGTCACATCTCCTTCCTGCTTCTGGGCTCCGTTCAGTGTGGTTTTTTCTGAGGCCTGATGAGCAAACCCCATAGGGAGCCTGGTAGCCAGATGCACCCTTGCCTGCGTGGACTGAGGCCCCATGACTCGGCTGCGGGCCAGGAGCACCTGGGCCCACCCTGTGGACCCCGCCTCCGTGCACAGGACGTGTGGCCCTGGAAGGCAGCCCCGGCGGGCTGGGCCCCAGCATGTGACGCTGGCGTGGACAGGAAGGGGCATGAGCAAGAGGAGACTGTCACCAACACTCAGCACCCGGAGCACGAGGGCTCCCAGGGAAAGGTAGGATTTCTCTCTCACTTTTCTTTTTAAAGTTTATTTTATTTGAGAGAGAGCACGAGTGAGCACAAGTAGGGGCGGGGCAGAGAGAGAAGGAGACAGAGAATCCCAATCAGGCTCTGAGCCATCAGCATTGAGCCCTTACAGGGCTCGAACTCACAAACAGCGATCATGACCTGAGGTGAAATCGAGTGGAAGGCTCTACCAACTGAGCCCCCAGGTGCCCCCTCTCTCGCTTTTAACATGAAGACACAGACTCCATGAGTGGAGGCCCTGCCCACAGTGATTCCTGTCCAGAGACAAAGCCTGGTTTGGACCTGAAGGCCACAGCCTGAGCCACGGTGCGCCAGGGACCTCATGATGCAAACATCTGCCTCCCAGTGAGGACGGGGGGGTCAACTCCCCTCCCAGAAGAAGACTGCACACGGCGTGGGGTGCCTGCCCTGCAGGCAGCCCTGGGTGTAGACACGACGGTCTCACGTGGTGCTACTGGACTAGAATGTTCCGGCCCCTCAGGCTCATGCTGCCCCAGGCTGCACCTCAGTGCACACACGTCCAGGTTCACACAGACGCGGGCCAGGCCTGGCCTGTGCACTGGTGACATGTGATAGGTGACCCAGGTTTCCGCGTGTGACTCGCTCAGAGACGATGCTTCCCAGCACGTGCTGTCGCCTGAAGACACACTTTCCAGTTAACTTGGAAGGTAGAAGGGATTCTGTCCTTAAAGCAAAGCTGTCTGTCCTCGTTCTAATTGGATACCTCCCTCCCTGTATTTATCAGGCACCTTTTAGCCCAAGATCTAGTCAGCTCTGAATCCAAAACACATCCGTGGGTGGGCGCACGTCACACACACACACACACACACACACACACACACACACACACACACACACACACACACACACCAGTGCTCTTTCAAGGAGGCTGTGTGTGACCCAGGGTCTCTGATGTATCACCACCGCCACCCAGACACGATAAAGCCCCTCTACATACGGAGTTTGGGGACAGCACTAAAACTGTGGAGAAGAAGCCGTGACCAGAGGCAGACGCACAGACGCCCTGGGATTGGGCAGAGAAGGGCGTCAGGCCACTAGTCACAATGTTGTAACTTACAGGAAAACGAAAAGGGGACGAGAGGACGTGAATGCAGAAGAAAAACAGAAGTTCTCTGAAAACGTAAAGTAAATGAAGTTCTCGAACTGAAATGAGAATCTGCTGCACAGGCTCCAGAGCAGACAGGACACGTGAAGCGTCAGGCCTCAACCGAACTGAGGAAGACGCGAGAAAGTTACAGCCTGAGATGGGGGGTTTCACAAATGTCAACATCCATGTTAGAACATATGTCCTATATTCTAATATAATTCTAGAATGAACACGCACACACGTATGTATAGAAACACGGGTGCCTGGGTGGCTCAGTCAGTTGAGCGTCCAGCTTCCCCTCAGGTCATGATCTCACTGTTCGTGGGTTCGAGCCCCACGTCGGGCTCTCTGACAGCTCGGAACCCGGTTTGCATCCTCTCTCTGCCCCTTCCCCATGGGTGCACACGTGCACCCTCTCTTTCTCTCTCTCTCAAAAATAAACATTAAAAAACATTAGAATCACAGAAGACATGGAGAAAAAGAACGGAGAAAGGAAATACTGTAAGAGCTAACAGTTAAAAGTCTCGCCCATTCACGAACAGAAACAGCAAGTCGGACACGAAGGCCTCGGGCCAGAGCTCACTGCAGCCAAAGTCATGAGGCAAAGAGCCGCTCACCAGCGCCCACAGGCACCAGACAGGCTGTTCCAGCACAGCAGTAAAGGACGGCGGACTCCTCATCGGGAACAAACGGCTACGCAATAGTGGAGAGGCCTCTACGGTGTGCGGGGCCTGTTCACGGCAGACGCCGGTCACAGGTACTCAGGGAAACGACACCAGGTGGAAACCAGGCACGAAGCTCCCCAGGAATCGTAACTATACGGGCAAAAACCACTGGGTGCGTAAGCAAAAATTTTAACAGTGTTTTCCGAGCTCTGTCACAATGGTGGCATCGCAAGAGTGCTTTTAACAACGCCAGCCAAAAGGGCAGAAGGCAGCAAACAGAATCGATCCTACTCTTATGAGCCGCGTACGTGATACAGGGGGGAAGGGGGGTCGTAGCTGCTGGGGGTCACCCGTGACAGGTGAGGCTGCGTGTTGCAGTTCTTAGAGCAGCTGCTAAAAGGTAAAGCAAACAAACAAAAAAGTGGAGCTAAAAAGAAAAATACATTGGACGCAAGAAATTCTCATTTCCTGCCTCCTTTTCGACAGCAATGAAGACAGAAGGGACAAGCGGGGAGCGGGAAGACGTGATGACGACAGAAGCCTCGGGCACAAGCCTGCTCGCGGCTCGCCGGGTGCACGCTGACGGCCCACGTCTCTGCGGGGACGACACGCAGGGCAGACGACCATGGGGCCAGGAGGCGGGGCCACACCCACACCCACAGGGCGGTCACAACGCCACACAAAGCACGTTCTCCAGGACGCAGACGGGGACATAACGTGCCGCATGCGAGTGTGACACCTTCCCGGGGCAAACACGGGGTCCGCCCAGGCTCACTCTCACAAAGCAGAGGGGCCTGAGGTCCCTGCTAGACGCCCCCTGGCTGGGGACACGTGGGCCACACAGGGCTCCTGGGAGGGCAGTGGTGACGCCCGGGGCACCTGGGCTGCACTCACGCTCCAAGCAGAGGCGGCAGGGGGCCCTGGGGAAGCCGCAGGCACCGGCACCGGGTCCCGGCTCAAAAGCTGAGAACGCGTGAAACAAAGCAAACGGGCGGCAGGCTGTCCTAGGGTCCCTCCTGTGGGCAGGTGACGGGGCACCTAGGATCCCTCCTCCGGGAGCAGGGCCCGTCCTGCGGGCAGGGGACAGGGCACTTACAGCACCACAGGCAGCCGTCGTGCAGGCGGATGGACGAAAGCCTGCCGCCTGACAGCTGGAATCTTCCGGTCACACGCAGGGTGCTCACGTTCCACGCCAGGACCGTCCCGTCTGTGCTGCACGAATACACCTTGCTGAGGTGTGAACGGACGCATGTAAAACAGAAGTTCCCGTCAGGTAAAGGTCCACAACGTGCACAGCGACTCCCGCCCACGCAAACGCCGTCCCAGTCTTGGGAGCAGTTAGTTAGGATGTGGCCGGTGCCGCGGGACAAGACGGGCTGCTGGGGACGCCTGTCCTTGCCCGTCAGTGTTTGCCGCCCACTCTGCCGACCTCACACGATGGCCCGGGAAAATCTAGCCTGCCGTCCCTGCGGGGCACACGCCGGCGGCCACAGGCAGCTGCAGGAGCGAGGCGGGCGCATCGCCCATGTGACGTGTGGCCCCCTCCCCTGCTCACAGTGGTTAAGGTTCAGGTCAGCACCTCCTGCTCTCTAGCTGGGCCTGAGGGCGGACGGCCCCGGACACTGGGGACGGGACTGCATGGAGGACAAGCGGCAGACGGCCTTCGGAGCCGGCGGGGGACCTCACACGTCCCGTGCTCACCGGCCTCCACTTCCGTCGGGGGCCGGGCCCTGTCCCAAGCGCAGCACGTGCGGCTGAGAGCAGAGCCCTTCAAGCCGACGTTCTCCATGCGGGAAGGACAGCAAGTGAATAAGGCAGACACGTGCTGTGAGATGGATCGTGTCCCCCAACAAAGGGCAACCGCAGGGCCTCTGTGGGGAGACTCAGGCACATCCTAATCCAGGGCTGGCAGCCCCCTGTCCCCGCGGGGCCCGGCGTACCTGGGTGTCCCGCTCTGCACGGCCAAGCCCGTGACGCCGGCGCGGTGGTCCGTGAGCTGCTTGTTGCAGGACATGCTGTGGACGTTGATGATGTAGATGACGGAGTCCTCTGCGCCGACCCACACCTGGTTCCTCTCTGCCATCGCCATGCAGTTCTGGAGGGGTGGGCCAAGGACTCATCATCGCCATCCCTGTGGGCCTCACCCAGCCACTCACCGTCCCAGGGGGGACCCGGGGAGAGGTGCCTGCGCGCTCTGGCCACGCCTCTGTCCCCTGACCAGTGCACCACCCTGTTCTTCGTTCGGAACACTTCTGTCTACAGACGCCGTGTTTTCTACACACTGCCGCCAGTTCACTCTGGCCTCCTAGCCACACGTGCTGTAATAGGCTCCAGCGCAGCTCACCTGACACCTGACTTTCTCTGGAAGGCCCCTCACCGCCTTCTTGGAATTGGGGACACTGGGCGGCATTTCAGCTCTATGCCAGGGGCCATCTTAAGCAGCACAAATTACCAGTACCACAGAAATGCAAAAGCCACAGCACTTAACAGGCTGCAGAGGGGACCCTTGGCTGCAGCATGAACTGAAACAAGATGACAGGGCATCAGCCCGCAGCTGGGAACACGCACCAGACGACGTGCTCTGAACGTATGTGCCTGTGGCCAAGAGTGAAAATGCCGTGTTTGTTTTGGGGGTAAAATAAACATTAACAAGTGGGTGAATCTGCAGATGTAGAATCTGCAAATCACAAGGGCTGACTACATTCATCACAACTAAACCACCCTCACTTTTACCAATGGGAACTTTGTAGACTTTCTATGTAACTTTAAGCTTTTTAAAGTGTTTTTAAAATTGATTTTTGGGGTGCCTAGGTGGCTCAGTTGGTTAAGCATCCGACTTTGGCTCAGGTCATGATTTCACAGTTTGTGGGTTCGAGCCCCGCGTCGGGCTTTGTGCTGACAGCTCAGAGCCTGGAGCCTGCTTCAGATTCTGTGTCTCCCTCTCTCTCTGACCCACCCCTGCTCACGCTGTCTCTCTCTCTCTCTCTCTCAAATAAGGAACATTAAAAAAAAAAAAAGAAAAATTTAGAATAAAAACGGGGGTTCCTGGGTGGCTCAGTTGGTTGAGTGTCTGACTCTTGATTTCGGCTCAGGTCATGATCCCAGGGTCATGGGATCAAGCCCCGCATTGGGCTCTGCTCGCTCTCCCTCCCCCGACCCCCTTCCCCACCCACGCGAGTGATTTCTCCAAAACAAAGACCTGCCGTGGACTACAGGCAGCGACACTGTGGAGTCACGTGTCCTGCTGGGTGCACATGGGCTTCTCCATCTTTCCAGCATCACATCTGGATCTGGAGAGTGCCGCCCCGGCTGGCGCTCTGCCTACTCACCAGCTTGGAGGCACCCACTCTGAAGCAGTGCTGGTGAACCGTCCAGGAGGAGGCATCAAACACGATCACTTTGCCCTCGTGCAGGGCGCACCATAGCTTGGGGTGGGCGTCTTCCACCTTTTCTGCCGGGTCTAGATGCCCTGAAGGAGGACAGAACCCAGAAACGTTTGTAAAGGGAGCCGCTCCGGTGCATCGGCACGTGACTGGCTCCACGAGTGCCTGCTGAGGGCCTGGCGCCACGCAGGGGGCCAGGCCATGAGCATGGGCTCTGGAGCCTGGAGCCTCGGGAGGGAGCCGGCTCTGCCCGGAGAACCGCACGCCTCAGTCAGCAGGGACAGGTCTGAAGGATGGAGGAGCAGCCACTGAAGGACGGACGGACAGACTTCCGCGCAGAGGGGCAGGGGAGGCGGGCACGCCAGGCAGAGGGCAGGAAGGGTACCCGACATCCCTGACGTCGTTTATGGTAAAGACGGTCTTTCCCTCAAAGCCCTGCTCTGTCGCATCACGAGTCGAGGTAAGAACGTGTCAAGTCTTTCTGGGGTATTCGTTCCACTGGCCTCCTTGGGGAGATACCACCCTACAGGCTCTTCCGTCCTGCCAGGGCCTGCGACGCCTTGCGGCTGGAGGGTGGCTCCGGAACCCCCGCCGAAGGGTTGACCAGTACTCCGCTGGTCGACAGGTCCTGACCACATTTGTCCCTCTGGGCCCCCCGGGCCGAGGGGCCAGAGCTCTGCTCACTGCCTTACTCCTGAGGCCCTGCCTCCAGATTTGGCAGACACCCCACAGGAAAGGGGCTCCACCGCTCTCCACGGTGGTTTTATGCCTTGGCCCTTCTAGATGTTCTGGGGACAGCTGGTCTGAATCCTAGCCCATCGTGACGGGAAGCCCAGAGTCCAGTCAGTTTTAATTTATAGGAAACCGACTTAAATCTAAAGATATTTGTTTATCCACAAACCTCAATAGAAACTGTCTCGGGGATGCCTGGGGGGCTCAGTCGGTTGAGCGTCTGACTTCGGCTCAGGTCAGGATCTCGCGGTTCATGAGTTCAAGCCCCGCATCAGGCTCTGTGCTGACAGTTTGGGGTGTGGATCTTGCATCAGATTCTGTGTCTCCCCCTCTCTCTGCCCTTCCCCCATTCACACACTGTCTCTCTGTCTCAAAAAAAAAAAAAAAGCCAAAACACTGTCTCGGTCTGTGGTGTTAGAGCCAACAAGGAGCCCTGACTGGTGAATCTAAGCCTCCAGGGCACCGAGGTCCAACGCGCTCTGTCCTTCAGACTCAGTGTGTCACTGCTCTGCTAGGTCTTGAGGACGATCGGAGAAGAGATGGAACTGTCCTCTTCTGCTGGGAACCTGCCTGCTACTGGCCCGGGTGCACGGGGGAGCTGGGAGACCGCTGGAGGCCATAACCGTGAAGGACTAGGGGACGGGAGAGCACATCCGTGGTGCTCCCTGGCGCTCACCTCACGCACAGTGAGCCGAAGCAGAGCGCCTGCACCGCAAGGTTCTTCTCTGCCCAGCACCGAGTCCTTCGCCTCCCAGCACGGCCCGCGGCAGTTCTTTACCAGTCAGTTAATACGAGCGTCTTGGACAGTTCTGAGCCTGTGACACGATGGCGGGCTGTGCTGAGGCTCCAGTCCCTAGTGGCGCTTGTTCCTGTCTGTCCTCCGTGCCCCCTCGGCCAGCAAGGAGCCCAGGGTCTGCGCGCAGGGGGAGGGCCCCAGCCTCGCCACACGAAGAGGAACCGTGTTGTCTGCCGTTCGGACGAGCAGCGGAAAGGCGCCTACGACCTCTAAGACGAGACCCTGGGTGCAGTCGTTTATCACGGCGAAAGCAGGCCCGGGTTAAACGCCCCCAAAGGAAAGGATGTGGTGCGAGCACTTTCTAAGCTGTCAAGTGCTATGCGGCGTGTGGATTGGGGAGGTTGGAGCAGTCTCCATGGAGCATATGCTCCTTTTGGGTCCCTGCACCTCCCGGGCCCCGCCCTCCTGAGGAGGGGTGCACGAGCAGCTACCCAGCTTTGCCTCGTCGTTCAGGACTTCACCTCCAGAACTAGAAACCCACCCGGTCCCCACTCGCCCCATGTCACTTCCTGTCCCCCTGACCTCGCGGCCGACCCCCAACACAAAATAAACTCCCGAAGTGCTGACAGGAGAGCAGCCCCAGGCAGGGGTCCCTTACCTGGCGTGTACAACAGCACGTCCACGGCGTGCGGGGCCGTCTCTCCTGCCGAAGGGTTTATCTTGTGTTTCAGGGTTTCCGAGGTTGTCTTGGGCACCGCCGTGGGCACTGCAATGCAGGCACTCGATCAGCCTCACGCCTTGGCGACACAGGTGTGCCCCGCAGCCTAGACCCTGGCTGTCCCCGGGGCGTGGGCTTGGGGGATGGTGTCATCACACCAGACTAAAGCATTGGCCTCCATGGCCCCCATCTCTCTCATCTGTGTGCCTGCCTTTGGCGAGATGGTGACACAGCTCACTTCCCAGCTGGAAAGTGATGTGACCCGCCCTCTGCCCGCCCTCAGCCACGAAGTGTCAGCAGTGAAGACGCGACTGAACACAGTGCTCAGTGACTGTTCTCGGGTGGTCTTGGCCTGGGTGCCGTGGACGCCTCAGGCCGGAGCCGTGGCTGCCGTGGGGCCACCCGTGTACTGTGGGCCGACCGGCAGCACCCCCCTCCGAGGGCCGGGGCGCAGAGTGTCAGGATGCAGGCTCGTAACTGAGGCCCGGGATTGCTGCCCGCGCCCCGTCGAGCTTTGCACAGGGTCACTGGGCCAGGGCAACCCCGTCACAGGGAAGGGTGCACAACAACGAGGAGTGAGCCGGTACGTGCTGGGGACCCCCACGGTGACGGGGCCATCGTCCTGAAGGGAGTCAGGAGCCTCCCACAGACCCTCCCGACAGCGACCAGACATGAGTCTGCAGCGAGACAAGCAGCTGATGTGGTGTTTGCTTCCATTCCTAACGTAAAGTGAACAACTGCGTCTGCTTCTGGGACGGACAATGAGCTCTTCCCCTCACTCCCGCAGCTCCTGTGGGGACAGTGTCCCAGCTGCTCCCGGGAAGGGGGTCTGAGTCACGGGGGAGTAGGACACGGGGGAGGGGGTAGAGGAGGGGGTGCCAGGACATGGGGGAGGGGGGTTTCCAGGACACAGGAAGGGGGAGAGGGGGCAGTTTCCGGGACACGGTGGGGAGGGGAGGTTTCCCAGGACACAGGGGTGGGTGAGTTGTTTCCGGGACGGGGAGGGGAGAAGAGGGGGTCTGAGGACACGGAGGTTGGTTTCTGGGACCAGGAAGCACCAGAGATTTCACAGTGACAGACATGGCAAAGAGTAAAATGTGCCAAAGTGACATTTGTTTCTCCCAATTTGGGAACATTTAAAAGCCAGGGTCATACGGCACCTGGGGGGGCTCAGTCGGTTAAGTGTCCAACTGTTGATTTCAGCTCAGGCCGCGATCTCACAGTTCAGGGCATCAAGCCCCACGTCTGGCTCTGTGCTGACTGTGGAGCCTGCTTGAGATTCTCTCTCCCCCTCTCTCCCCCCCATCCCCTGCTCAGGCTTGCTCGCTCTCTCAAGATACGTTAACTTAAACAAAATTTTGAGGAGATGGGACCACACGAGCAAACAAATCCGAACGTGGATGTTCAGAGCAGCAGTGTTTGTCAGAGGCCGACGGCGCAGGGAAGCCAGTCAGCTGGCCAGGAGCCAACAGAGCGGTTACACCCACACCGTGGGACACGGTCCAGCCACAGAGGAGGGCAACACCGGCAGCCGCTATGTGGAGGCCTCTGCAAGCGCTGCCGTCAACGAGAGAAGCCACCAAGGACATGTGTACGCGACATGCCCAGAGGAGGTGAATCCGACAGACAGACAGCACATCAGTGGGGGCTGCTAACTGCTACGGAGCTTCTTTTTAGGATGATGAAGATGCTCTAGAACTCTAGAATTCACTGTGCTGACGCTGGACTGAGAATAGCCCAAAACCAAGAACGAACACTGTAAGTGAGTGAGGGACGGAAATTCTAGCTCAGTAAAGCAGTTGTTTAAAAGACAGTGCTCAGGGCGCCTGGGCGGCTCAGTCGGTTGAGCATCCGATTTTGGCTCAGGTCACCATCTCACGGTTCATGGGTTTGAGCCCCGCGTCGGGCTCCATGCGGACAGTGCAGAGCCTGCTTGGGATTCTCTCTCCCTCTCTCCCTGCACCTCCCCAGCTCACTCTGTCTCTCTCAAAATTAATAAACCTTAAAAAAAAACAATAAACAAAAACAAAAAGCCCCACACAAACAGAACTAGAGATCATTTTAAAAACATCCCTACTTTGTTCATCTGTCATCACGAATTCTAGGCTGTCAGCTGACTCAGCCCATGGGAACATGGCGCGTAGCAACGTCAGTGGAGAAGCAGTTATACTCTCTCCTTTATACAGCCCACAAGACAGCTGGTTCTAGACCATTTAAAAGTTGTAACTAAAATAATAGTTATTCTTACCCACTTGCTCTTTCCTAGACTTGAAAAGACTACCTCCCATGCCCGACCAAAAAAAGATTCCACCAGCAACCCCTGGATGGCTTCCAGAATGTGAGGGCCAGATTCCCATCTACAGACAGGTGATCAGAGAAGTCCTAGCTGGGGAAACTGACCCAATCACGGCGGGGAAAACAGATCTGAACTCCGGGGGCCTCCGGGCACCTGTCAGCAAAAGGGACCGGGCACAGCCTCCACGGCCCTCTGGGGGCGCGTCCCCGACCACAGAGGATTCTGGGAGCCACTGGAGAGCCTCCTCTCGGCTCCCAAACCCCTCACCGGCCAGTGCAAATCTGCTGGCAACTAAGAACCGTGACAAACCGCACCCGGTGTCCAGTGGACCCCTCCCCCACACCCCCCCACCCCGCAGACAGCAAGCGCGGGAAGTGCCTCAGTGGGTCCTGCTGGGCAATGGGCTCCCAGTGTGAGGCGAGGACGGGAAAGCAGAATGTGTGGTGCTCAAAATTAAAATGCACATTTTATAAAAGGACAAAAGTGAGAAATTAGGGATCGGTCCTAATGTCAACCAGATAAGACGACGTAAGACACAGTCAGGACACCAGGACTCAAACACATGTCTCTCTTACTTTCGTTCTTCATCTTCTCAAAGTATGACAACTTGGAGGCAGCGTAAATGGCACCAGGCGACTGGAGTGTGCCGACAACGGCGTCCATCAGCAGGACGTGGGTCAGCGCCTGCTGGATGTACTGCGGGTCCTACGGGAGAAACACGCTCATTTCAACCCCGGGCACGAACATCGCCAAGGGACTCTGCCTCGTCACATCAAACAACGCTTTTCAAGATGCAACGTGTTTTCAAGGCCACGCAAACAGCCCACACTTGGACCTGAGGTCACACACTTTTGTCTCAGTCATGACAGATACTGCTCGTTTATGCCAGGGGCTGCCAAACGCCTTCCGTGAAGGGCCAGGCAGTAAGTCCTCCGCCTCTGTGGGCTCCCCAACCTCGGTCACAACCACCTGGCTCCGTGCTGTAGCTGGGGAACAGCCAGAGGCGTTTTGTAAACGAGTGTGTGTGCCCATAAGTCTCCTTACAGAGACAGCCGTGGCCCACGGGCTCTAGTTTGTGCCAAATAAACCAGTGGGCATGAAACCAGATGGTGGGTCCCAAAGTCAGCGCTAGAACCTTGGAGGGGCCCTGGCCCCCCTTCCCGCTCCAGGCGGAAAGACTCCCTCTGTGTTCGTGGTCTTGGCCTCCTGGTGCACGGGGGCTGCCCTCACCAAAAGAAGTGCCCCCACCGCGGATGGTCTGCTCTTTCTAACGGGGGCGCCCGCAGTCCCTGTGATGATCATGGGCTGTGCAGCCCCGAGGACCCCACTGCCCCGCCCATGCTCTGCCCACAGCGACCTCTTGTCCCTGTGTGTCCTCCATCCGTGCCTCTCTCCGGGGTGTCCTTTGTGACCGTGAAGCCCTACCTCGGTGTGAGCAAAGCTACCAATCTGGCCCAAAGTAAGTGAAAACACAAAAATCCCTGGGTATAATAAACCTAAGTCTGGGGTGGGGGTGGGGCTCCCATGTGACCCCTGCCAAGACCCTGAGAAGGGAGGAGCCTCGGGAGCAGGGTGTGCCTGGAAGACCCGACTGAGACCTGAGTCCAGCCCCAGCCCCTCCACGGGGGCCCCTCCACGCTGGCCGGTCACGGGGCCACGCAAACCACACCATCTCTGTGCCTCCGGCAGGGCCTCCTCCAACCCAGCCGGTTCCCCTGCACGGCACCCGAGCCCTGGGGACGGCGCCCGAGCCCCTGGGGCATCAGCACAGCCGCAGGTGCATGGAGCAGGCGGCCCGGCCCCCGACCTTGTGCTCATCCGCCAGCTTCTTCCCGGCCCACATCTCCTTCACCATCAGGTGCCACACGTCACACTCCGTCTTCAGATTCGCTTCAAAGACTTCTTTCCTGGACGCGGTTTTAATCTTCAAAGTGGGTATCCGCAGCAGCAGAAAGGCTACTGTGGTGGCGCGCACTTCCTAGGGAGACAGGGAAGGCAGGGGCGGGTCAGTGAGAAGTCCCCTCCCAGGAATGCTGGCGACAGGGACGGGGCGGCAAAGCTGACGCGACACAGCGGCCATGGGCCGCCGGCCACCGGGAGGTCCCTGCACTGGGGCTGAGAGCAGAGCACCTGCCGGGTGAAGGCCGTCCTGGGGGAGGGGCCGGAGCAGCGGGGGCAGGGTGGGGGCGGTGCGGGGAGGCCCCAAGGGCACAGGAGAAGGGGTACCGAGTCACCAAAGAGCAGGGGCTGGTGGCCCGCGCTCTCACCTCCATGTCCCTGAAGGTGGAAATCTCCACGTAGCCCGGCCGTCCCTCGGTTAGGAGGAACAGGCGCTTCTGGGTCATGGCGATCTTGCCCACGCCGCGATTCGTCTTGACGGAGCTCGACAGCTTGTAGACACACTCGTTCTTATCCAGGTGCTCCATCACCGCCGAAGGCAGACTGACCTGCTGGGCCTCTGCTTCTGCCTCCTTCCAGCAGTTGTAGAAATCTCTGAATGTCTCCGGGTCAATCTGTTTCTGGTGTCCTTCGTTTGGTAAAGAAAAGACATCTCAGGGCCACATCCGTGTCCCCCCTGGCCCCCCAAAGCGGTGCACTACCCACACTGGACAGCAGGTGGCGCTGGCACTTCGGTCTTGGAGCCCCAGCGCCCTTGCTCAGTCAGCCCTTTCCCCTCTCCATCCCCCCAGAGCAGGGGTGGGGCCGGCAAGGAGGTCACTAATTCTCGGGACACACTTCTTACGGTGGCAAAGCGCCGGGTCACCACTGGAACCGGTAGCAGCCCTCCTGGGGCCCGCGGGGAGCCAGTCCTCACGTGAAGCTAACACTCAAGAGACCAGATCCTTGGTGACCTTCACCACAGGATCAAGCCTGGCCTGAAGCTGGCTCCGTCTCAGTTATGTGAGCAACACGTTTGATTCTCTGTAACCGAAATGAACTGAAACGTCCACTATTCACGGGCTCTGGAGGCAGAGACCCAGGTCTGAAGCCCAGCTTTGTGGGTTTGTGCTGTGACACTAAGCTGTCAAAGGAACCCGGCTGCTTCCCTGCAGGATGGAAATGGGACCACCCCACCCCCACTGCTGAGAAGCCCCACCCGTTCTCATCCCGAGGTGTCCTGGGGCTGTTCCTGCCCGGGCTGGGTTCCCCGCCAGCACCCTGGCCCTGCATGGTCCTCCCTGCCCTCCCGTCAGGCACCGGCCCTCACGTCCCGCAGACAAGCTCCCACTCGACCCACCCGCGCGGCCTGCTTCCCTGGGTGCCCAGCACACCCTACGGTACGGGGAGGAGCCCCCTGTCACTTGTTCAAACACTCCAGGCTCCTCATCTACACCAGGCCCCAAACTCCTCCAAGCTTGGGCTCCACCTCCCCTTCACACCCCACGTTCCGAGTATATCCCCAAACTGGCCGTGCTGTTACCTGCCGCTGCACACACTGTTCCAGGGAGCTCAGAGCAGAAAACTACATGCACTTCAAGACCCGGGTAAGGTATCTCACCCACCCCCGTCCCCAACAAGGCAGTCATCCTGGCCGGGCAGCGGCCGGGCCGCACGCCCGTCTCCCTGACGGCAGCACTGCGCTCACGCCACTTCCCCACGTCCCAATTTCTCCTCCAGCCGCCTCAGGAGGCAGCGCTGTTATCAGGCAGTTCACAAATCTGGAAACTGAGGCACAGGGAAGAAAGCCCTTACCGGAAGAGGTAGGCGTGGAGCCGGGTCCCGTGGCCCGACGCCACCTGGCCCTGTGTGTTGGCAGGTGTGCCTTCCAGCTGAGCAAGGAACCCACTACTTCACGAAGGACTTCAGAACCTTGGGAGCCTGGAGCCAAGGGCCCCGTTCCTTCTGTCGCTCAGGACACATCCTCCTGTCTGGGCCCCAGCCACGTCGCTGGGCCACGCAGGACACGGTACATGTCACCAGAACCCAGAACAGCTTCCTCTCACAGACAGATGTGGTGCCAGGGCTCCAGGACGGACACCAGAAACCTGACCGTCACAGGGCAGCGCCCAGGGACACCCCTGCGGTAGGAAGCGGCACTTACTGTAGCTCCAGCCCCTCCAGGGCCGCGGCACCGCAGGACAGCGCACACCCCAGCCACCGTGCACGTCTATGACCTCTGTGCACACCCGCCATGCACACCTCAGCCACCGTGCACATCCATGAGCTGCATGCACACCCACTGTGCTCACCAGGGGCTGCCATGAGCTCCCATGGCTACTGCACGCGCCTGTGCAACAGACACATCTTCTGTTTGTCTCCAACTCTGCACAGAAGTGCCAACTGCTCACTCCTGTGCCGTCACCCACACACCGTCTCCGGGCGCAGGCGGTCGCCGGAGCCCAGCTCCTGCACAGCCATGCTGACGGCGGCGCACAGCGGCCCCCTGACCCCGGCCCCTCAGGTGCAGCCGCGTGTGGAAATTACTGGTCCCACAGCATGAACACCACACCTGAGATGTCTACTCGAGTCTCTAACGACGGAAGAGGAACGATAATGTAAACAAAGTCTCGGATGCATCGTTCTGCCACGTGAGTTCATTCCAAGCTGGTGGCCTTCAGCTCAGACTTAATATAGCTTTTCTAATACCTGGGCCGTTAGGTAAACATATGTTTGGTGCTGCCACAAGGTCCCTCACACATCCCGGAACCAGGACCATTAACTGAGCTGTTTGCCACGTGAACAGAACCAAGGTGACAACAGGGCCACCAGCCCCCCCATCAGTGTGGCCCACGTCTGCTGATGCCCGGCCAGCACAGGTCTGGGAACACTGGACACGGCCCACGGGTCTACCGCAAAACCTTGCTTCCCAGGCGGCCACGTGCTGTGGGAACACGCTGCTGGCCACAGGTGGTGACAGTGGGGGGACAGACCCCCTTCCTCCTGACGGGAGAACAGTGCTGCCCAGGCCATCGGCGTCTCATGCCATGAAGCAACAAGGCCACGTGGGGCTGGGGCACAGTGACATCGAGGAGCAGCCAGGCCCACTCTGGATGCCTCACTCCCCAAGAACAGTGGCCGTGCGTCCCCGTGTCCCCATGTCCCAGGCCCAGCAGCTGAATTGGCTGTGGCCCCGGCGTCCTTGTTAAGGCCCCGCAAAGGGAAGGGATGGGGTGTCCCTGAGAGGCGCTGAGTCACGAGGCCCCAGAGTGCTGCTGGGGGGTCTCCGCAGGGCCCTGCCCCCCCCACAGTTCACCCCCCCATGGGGCCTGCCCGCGGAGACCCCCCAGTAAGACCAGGAGGAGAAGCTGCCAGGCCTGTGCAGGGGTCAGGCGGCCAGGGCGCAAACGGAGACGGGAAAGAAGGCACCGGAATGGCTCCAGAGCAAACGAGTGGACGTTCTTCCAGCCGGCAGGACATCTGAGTCCGAGCACCTCGTGCTGCCCAGGAGGTGGGGGGTGGGAGGTGGGGGTCTCGGGGTGCAGCCTGGGCCGCACACACCCCGGGGAGGGCCGTCCGCAGCCATGTCACGCACCAGGCACGGCGGCGCTCACCATGCCAGTACTTGGAAAAGAAAAATGACTGGATGCCACCTGATGGCCAAACAGACCGGGGCCCATGCTCTACTCCTGAGACACGGCCACCGGATGCTCAGTGACACATGCACGCTGACACAGGAAAGTTCTGGAAAGACGCTGTGGAGAAACAGTGACTACAGACTGACACAGCAGGACACAAGTCACCCGTCCTTGGAAACCACACAAAGCCCAGGTCCTGCTTTCTGACACGTGCATTCCTAGTGAGCCCGTAAGAAGGTGGTCAGGCAGGAAGGCTCCAGCTGGGGACAGGGTCCCTCTGAGGGGGGCGGTGTAGAAAGGATGACTGTGGTCAGCGTGGACAAGGCAGCTCTCCCAGGAGGGGAACGATGCCACCCAGCCTGTGCCATTGGGCGCGCGTGCAGAGTTCCCACCGACGGCAGCATCGCACACAAGGTGAGCAGCCCCCTGGGGCAGGAGGGTCTCTGGTCACACTGCGCTACCCCGAGGGGCAGGGACAGGCCAGCCCGGCAGCCCCCAGGCCTGGCCAGCCCCTCCTGGTCCTGCAGGTGCCCGATCGGGAAGAGCCCTCGGCCCGCGGGGCCCCGGCACCGCTAGCGGGCCGTCCTGGCGTACCGAACCCTCGCATCCGGGCCGGGGCCATCCTCTTACCTACAGTCAGCGCCTCGAACAGTCGGTTTATGATGTTGGCGTCCTTCACGATGCCCGACTCCTGGACCCTCTTCACGAAGTCGTCCAGCTGCATGTGCTTCTTGGGCAGCTCGAAGTGTTTCACGCGGTCGTCGGGCTTGGGGGCATCCCCGGGCTTGTCCGCGACCTCGCTGATGAGCCGCCGCAGCTCAGGCACGCGCTCGGCCTGGGCGCGCTCGGGGCCCGACATGGACTCCAGCGTCCTCCGCACCAGGTCGGCAGGGAAGATCCTCAGGTCCGTCTTGTACAGGCTCTGGAAGTCCAGGAGGGCGTCCAGCAGCTGGCCCTGCATCAGGTGCACGGCCCCCCGCAGGTAGAAGAACCGGGCCAGCAGCACGGAGCTGTCGGGCGCCAGGTGCCCCATGGCCTTGCTCAGCAGGGCCACGCAGTCCGAGAAGTAGGCCTGGACGCACTGGCTCACCAGCGGGAAGTGGATATCCGGGATCTTGAAGGAATACGTTGCCTGGAAGGCTGTGCTCCGAACTGGAGCAGGGAGAGAGGGAGCGGGTGATTAGCAGACCCCGAAACAGACGCATCCCTACGGTCTCATCTGGGCCGTTTCTGTGGCTCGGGGGGCCAGTCCTGCGGGCAGGCCGCTCACCCTGGGGAGGTGGGGTCAAAGCCTGCGGCGGGGTGGGGGGGGATGGGGGGGGATGGGGGGGAAGGAGGCAAGAAGGGGAGGGAGTCAGGAAGGGCAGGGGCTCCAGGTCAGAGCCCAGAACGCCTTCCCACGGGGGAGTGAGCACAGCCAGGGGTGAAAACGTCCCTGCGTTTTACAGAAGAGGAGCTGCAGGCCCAGCCAGGGGAGCGCTGCCCACGGTCACAGCCGGGAAGCCGCCGTGTGGGCCTCAGACCAGCGGGCGTCCCTGGAAGGCTTTGCTGTCACAGAGGACTCTCCGCTCAAGCACGCGGCCCCTCGTCCCTCCTGATGCCAGCTGGGCGAGCTGCACACGCACCAGGAGGCGCCCACTGGTGCCGGGGACAGCGGCCAGCAGGGCCCACGCGGCTCAGGGCGCCTGGCCTCCCCCAGGTCCTCCTGGCCACTCGGGATGGAGTGTGCTTCCCCCCTGCAACCGCACAGAGGGGCCCTGAGTGTGAAGAACTGGGGCACACATGGCACCTCCTTACACGGAGTAAGACACGGGCTCACACGCGTGTTCTAGGTAGTTTACACGCCGCTCAAACTCCAGCCGACACTCAGTGCCAGGCCTGCCTCGGAGTTGGCCGTGGTCTCCCTCGGCACCGGTGGGCTCTTGCTGTCCCTCCACCCAGAATGTGCCACTGGGACGGCCCGGCCTCACACTCACTCAGGTGTCTGCTGAAAAGTGGCCTCCACACCCGGGCCCCATCCCATCCCTGAAGCCGCTCCCTCTGCGCCGAGACGGCACACACCCCGAGGCTATGTGTGCATCTGTTTTCCCGGGAACCCCGCTCCACAGGGAGGGGGGCATTGGGTCCCTCGTGTCCCCCAGATCTAGAGGGGGCCTGGCTCTCACTGGGGCCCAACAGTTGTGACTGTCAGACATGGATATGTGATGCCTCCCAGGGGACGGGAGATGGCACTGCTCATGGGCCGGGTCACCAGTCAGCCCAGGGGACGGACATGTCACCACTGTCAGCCCCTCCCCCACACGGGCTGGATCACCCCTGTCAGCCCCAGGGATGGACACAGCACCCACATGGGCTGGGTCACCACCTATGCTGCTGCTTCTAGAGCCCTCGGAGTCCATCTTCCGGAGTGACGAGTTCCGGGCGGGCGGCTCGGGCACCGTGATGTCCTGCAGGTTGGGCATGCTGACCACCATGCGCCGGTGAGTGGCGTGCAGGGACGGGGGGTTTCGGGAGGCCATTTTCTCGATGGTTGGCCTTCGGGGACTCAGCAGCACCCCGTGTAACCTGCGTCGGGAAAAAGCGACACCTTGTGGACACAGTGCGTCTCCAGAGGGGTCTCAACACCCTCTATCTGCTTGGGTGCAAACACAGCCCCGCCCCCTTCCCACAGGCAGGTGGAGGACACGGCAGCGCCAGTCAGTCTCCCCAGTGCAGTCAGAGGCGGGGGGACAGACGGGACCCCAGACACACACACACACGGGCACACACACACACAATGTCTGCAAGGGGGCGGTGTCAGGAACATCAGTGGAAGGGGTGGGAACAGCGTGGGGAGGTGGCGATGTGGTGCGAGAGGGAAGGCAGGAGGCAGCGGACGGCAACGACGCGGACCCTGAGGGGCACACGTGCACCAGCCTCGCTCGTGTCCCCAAACAAACGCGCGGGGACATGCCCGACGAATATAAGTTTCTAAGTGTGAGATTTTCTGGGCGAATTTATCATTCGTCCACCCAAATAAGGGCACGCTGCTGGGGCGCCCGGGCCCCCGGAATCCCCCGCCCACACCGGTGACTGAACCTGTCTTCGTCCGACTGCATGTCCAGGTCCATCTGGGCGAAGGCGTCCATCCTCCTGCTGAGCCGGGCTTTAAGGAAAGAGTGAAACATGTAGGTATCCAGAACCTGCAACAGACCACAGGGGCCAGTCACCTCCGCGCCCGTGGCCCCAACGCGCCGTCTGCCATGCCGGCGCGGCTGTCCCCTCCCCCTGCTTTCTTCACCGTCCGCACCTGCAGGGCTCACGCTCCAGATACCCAGGGCAACCTGAAAGGGTCGGCTGCTCTTTGTGTTTGAAAAATCACCATGAGTTCAAAAGCCCAACTGGCTTCCCCTCACGATGGCAAGTCTCTGGGGACCGTGGCCCCCTCCTCACAGCCAGCACACCGTGTGGCACTGGCCTGCAGCTCCCCCACCCAGCCACTGGTCTCTCAGCCCAGAAAGTGACCCTCCAGCAGCCGGTGCATGCCCCCACCCTGCCTGTGGCTGCAGGTGAGTGGCCTGCAGGGGACAAGCTCAGGCCCATCGGCCGCTGTGCAGCCCGCACATAGGAGGGCCACGGGCGCACAGGCCCACGCAGAAGGTGCTGGAAACCCCATGTGCAAAACGCCCACAGGAAAGTGACAGCAGGGAGGGGTGTGTGGCGGGATGGGAGGTGGCAGCTCTGGCTCGCGGGGACCACCAGCCACCCTCTGGGAGCCGCCAGAGCAAGGAGGTGCACGACAGGGAGCTGGCCCCAGGCGCCGTCACAGCTGTGACCTGGCGCTCTGGCCCCACGTGCGTCCCCGACTTCTCCCCGGGCTCCTCTGTGGAGGGGCCTCGTGTGGGCACCATCTTTTTGCGTTTAATTTTTTTTAAGTTTATTTATTTAGAGAGACAGAGAGTGAGTGGGGGAGGGGCAGAGAGAGGGCGAGATGGAGGATCCCAAGCAGCTCCATTCAGTCACCGCAGAGCCCGCTGCGGGGCTCGATCTCATGCTCCTGGACCGGGGACCTGAGCAGAGATCAAGAGTGAGACGCTCAGCCAACGGAGACACCAGGCGCCCCTCATGTGGGCAGCATCCTGGGGGCCCCGCAGGCCAGGCTCTGTGCCCCGGGAGGGTGTGCAGAGGCTGCGGCCGGCTGGCGTGAACGGCTACCGTGGGGCCTCAGCCACAGGAGGAGCCGTCGGTACCAAGGCTCAGGCGGTCCCTCCCAGCACAGGCTGCGTGGCGTTCTGCTGCGAGAGGCAGCCGGGGGTCCCTGTGGAGCCCGGAGGGGAGGCAGCTCTGCAGAGAGTTAGTTCTAGAAGTCTGCAGAGGGGCCCCACCCTGGAGGACAAAGCACGTGTAATTAGGCAAAGCAGGACCACGAAAGCTGAAGGGCCGAGGGAGACCTGTGAACCTGGAGCAGCCTGAGTGCAGGGGACCCCCCGAGGCTGGGGCACCAGCACCCCCCAAGGCCAGGGCTCTAGCACCCAGTGGGGGAGGGGCACCAGCCTCCCCCCCCCCACCGAAGGCTGCCCCGCCCACCTGGAAAGTGGGAGAACAGCCCTGACACACCAAGATCGGCACCAGCTGCAACACGACTTTGCATAATAGACCAGAACTGAAGCATCCCGAAGGCTTGTTAACAGGTGGACAGAAAACACCGGGCACTGCCTTCCATCCTCCACCCCCCACCCCACCCCCACCACGGGGTGAAGCGGTCCCGCGGCCATCAGATCACAGAGAGGTCTTGATCTGGATCGAGGAAGTGGTGTCCAAGCACCCGCATCTGTGGGATTTATCACCCTGTGCACTTAAACTGGGTGCATTTCATGACAGGCAGACTGCACTCTACAAAGCTGACTACAAAAATAAGAGATGCCCACAGGATCAAACAGAACAAGGCTAAAGCAAAATTCTCGTAAAAACTATTAATAAAATACTAACAGATGCTTTTGAGAAAACGTATTTTGAAAAATCTTCTAAGCACAGAGTGGCACGCTAGCCCCATATGCTCCTTACCTGCTTGTAAAACTGCTGGTCCCCCAGAGCTCTGGTTTTGAGAAACTCCTCGCTGTTAAACACTCGGTGCTCATAATTTAAGTGATTCTTCACCTCCCTGACAAAGAGAAGGTGGTCTAAGTCTGGAAACATTTTTAAATGCATAAAAAAGTTATCACTGTTGGGGCGCCTGGGTGGCTCAGTTGGTTAAGTGTCTGACTTTGGCTCAGGTCATGATCTCACATTTGTGGGTTTGAGCCCCGCGTCCGGTACTGTGCTGACAGCTCAGAGCCTGGAGCCTGTTTCAGATTCAGTGTCTCCCTCGCTCTCTAACCCTCCCCCACTCCCGCTCTGTCTCTCTCAAAATTAAACATTAAAAAAAATTCTTTTTAAAGCTATCACTATTAAGCAACACAAAATGACCAGAAAAACACCCTTGCAAGCCCTGTTCTGCAGAAAGAGGGTTCTGGCCCCAGAAGGGTTCGGTCTGGGTGTGCCCTCCGCTCAGCCATCCGGTTACTTCAAGCACGGCTTCTCCCTGCACGGAGGGACCCTCGCTGTTCTCGCCCCCTCGGAGCCCCCACTTCTCCATGCCGACGGCACGGCCACTGGTTCCTGCTCTGTCCCTACAACAGAGTGGACTTGGGGGGAGGCCTGGGAAGGGCAGGCCGACTCTCTGCGCCTCAGCTCCGGGGCCGCCACGCGGGAGGGCCGCTGGCGCCTCCCACAGACGCGGGGCTCGCTCACTACCTGAAGATGCTGACGAGCAGCTGCAGGGCTGCCTGCTGCAGCTCGTGGTTGAGTCTCTGCTGCCAGGCCCGCCTGCGCGCTCGCCCCTCGTTCAGGTCTGTGCTGGCTCCCAGGTGCGCGAGGTCCAGCTCCTGGTGCAGCTGAAGGCTCTGGACCCTGGGGAGGAGCACAGGGACGCTGAGCGCAGCTCGTGCTCTTTACGGGCCGGGTGGGGGGACGCTCAGGACAGCAGCTTGTGCTTCCCAGGTAGGGGGGTCACTCAGGATGGGACTTGTGCTTCCCGGGTGGGGGGGCGCTCAGGACGGGGGCTTGTGCTTCCCGGCTTGGGGGGGAGCTCAGGAAAGGGGCTTGCCCTCCCCAGGTGCGTTAACACTCTTTGGATGCTCAGAAGACCCAGCAATAACTTCAGGGAGGGATCATTAAAAATCCATCCCTGCTGGAGTGCCTGAGTGGCTCAGTCTGTTAAGTGTCTGACTTCAGCTCGGGTCTTGACCTCATGGTCTGTTGAGTTTGAGCCCCACATCGGGCTCTGTGCTGACAGCTCAGAGCCCAGAGGCTGCCTCGGATTCTGTGTCTCCCTCTCTCTGCCCCTCCCCCGCTCACACTCCGTCTTTCTCTCAAAAATAAATATAACATTACAAAAATCAGAAACAAACCATCCCTGGAGAGTTGATCAGCCCTGCACACCGGCAGGTCCTCGTTCAGGACCACGGGGGCCCTGACTGCACACTGTTATCCACACCCAACCCTTCCCTCCCTGGCCCGCCTGCTGGGAGCTCCCGCCCCCAGCCCTGCAGCTCCCTGCACTGCGCCCCTTCAGGAGGATAGGATGCACTAGTGTCCTGCGTGCCCCGCTCTCCGTCCGCCGGCAGTCTAGCACATTCATCCCTGGCCTCCCAGCACTGCCAAGGCTGCATGATGAAAACCAATGGGCAAGTCCGTGGTTTACACATAAAATGAACACACCCGTCACACATCCCTCTCCCCCACGGTACTTCCTGAGCACCTACTGCATGCTGGGCTGCATGCTGACCACAGGCAAAGCTCCAGGGCGGGGCTGACATTCAAGTGGGAAGAAATAGAAGAATGCACCCTAAATATGAGGTCGTGGGAGGTTGGGGAGGCGAGGAGAGGACTCAGAGAACGAAGGCTAGGAGACAGCCGGCGGGTGGCTGGAAAGGACCTCATGGGGACCCGGGACCTGGAAGGTGAGAGGTGAGAAGCCAGATACAAGTGTCCTGAGTCCATAGGGAGCACCCACTCCTTAGTGGCCCTTGGGTCTGAGGCAGTGGGGAGGCGGCTGAGACCAGGTCCGAGGTCAGCAGGGCCAGGGCAGCTGGGAAGGGGAGCGCCCTGGATTTGACCCGAGTGAGACGAGAAGCCGCTGCTGGAGACGGATGTCCCGGCCCCGCAAACCCCGGCTGATACCACCTGGAAGGTTCGGCACCTTCGCACACGTGCCGGTGACTGCACGCGGCTCAGCCCCACCGTGACAGAGTCAGTGGCCCCCAGCTGAGACCGTAGCCGACACCACGTCCCACCACTGTGGGGTCGGGCCAAGCAGAAAGCCACCGCTGTGTGTTCTAGAGTTCCGACACCACCGCTCACCACACAGCCAAGGGCGAGAACCCCATCCCACTGGGCGCCCCCCCAAATGCTGGCGCCCGTCACGGCTAAAACGTCAGACTCAGACAGTGGGGGGAAGCGGCTTTTGCTGCTCAGAAAGTGAACGATTAGAAACGTTCATCGATACACAAACCCTGGCCTGTGTGGGACATCCCAGGGGTGAATACTGTCTACTGGGGGCGGGGGGGAGTGAAGGAGGGAAGGAGGCAGGAGAGGGAACCTCACAGGCCACAGGCACGTGACGGAGGAAAGAGGGTGGGCAGGCTTCCTGGGGGAGGGAACCATCACCTGACTCTGGGGCCATTGGTACTTAGACAAAATCAGAATGAGGATGAGTAACTTCTATTCTAAAATATTTACAAATAGGGGCACCGGGGTGGCTCAGTCCGTTGAACGTCCAACTCTGGATTTCAGCTTAGATCGTGACCTCGCGGTTCGTGTGTGAGTCTGAGCTGGCAGCACTGAATCTGCTTGAGACTCTCCCTCTGCCCGCCCCTCCCCCACCACGCTCACTTGCACACGCACACTCTCTCTCTCAAAATAAACAAACTTTAAATAAACACAGATAAAATAGTCACAAACAACCTCCAAACTATAAAGACAAACAACCCATCGGTCTGTAACATACGATGGAGAGGAAACTCAGAAGTGGCGCACACGGCACTGAACAGACATCTGCAAGCACACACCACTCCCGCCTTTACCTTTGAATGAACGTCTGTGCTGCCAGGAGAGGGATGTCGGGGATGTCGACGTCCTCGTCATTCGAGGAGGTGATGGTCCCGCTGTCGATGTTTATCAGGATTAAGCCATCAGCTTCCTGTAAGTGTGTAAAGACTGACGTAAGAATCTGAACTTGTAGATGCCTTGGGAAACACAAAAACACATTTTGCTTTCACTACGGTAGTGAGTTAATTAAGTAAATGACCGTATTTAATATGTACGGGCCCTACACCGGCTCCAGCAGAGAGCAGGCTAGACCACGAGTTATGTTAACAAGCGCCATCTGGTCAAACATGCCTCAGTCTGAGTCAAGATTCCATATGTGTCATTACCAGGCTTTCACCTGCCCTGGTGCAAACACTGCGGGCTACTTCAGGAGCCTGGAGAGAACATTCCAGAGCTCCACCCCTTGCAGGACTGCAGTGTGGGTGCGGTCCTGGGCTGCGTGAACACACACACTTGGAGTTTCTGAACTATGTGCCTGAGTTACTTGTAAGGCCTCATCTGTGACAAGATGTACACCCGGAGTCACGCGCTGGGGTCCCAGATTCCCGGAATGCGGCGCCAGAGTCTCTGAGGGCCCTGCTCGCCACTCGCATCTGGGCCCGGCCTCCTGACGCGCATGTCAGGTGACGTGAGCGCCCCGCAGGAAGCCGTCCAGACACGGAGCGCTCAAGGGCAAGGTGGTCGGCACGGCACGCTGTGAGCATTAACCCGGGACCTTGGCACAGACGCATAGCCGCCAAGGACCGATGCCGAGACCCCACCCCCGCAGAGGAAAATGTCCAGACACAAAACACACTTTTCAGGCCAGAGCTGCTGCCTGTCCCCAAACCTTCCGGAACACGGAAGTCCTCAAACGGGCTTCCTTCATGATCGCCGGCGTGTCAGGTCCATGTGCCAAGTATCCCCTGAAGGGTCTAAAACAAGATGGCCTTTTCCCCAATGACTAAAAAAGGAAATGCATTTTAAATTTCAGAGCGTGGACTTTTTTTCTTCCTCATTTGCAAGGCAGACGAGGTGACGTTTTCCCCGTCCCTTCCGTGAAGGTCTGAGTGGTCTTTTCCCGAAACGTTTGTCGCCTGGTGACTCGCTGGCTTTGGCAAGAAGCCGGCTCCTCCCAGAGCCTAACACCTGCCACCTTCCTGGGATTTGCTGGAAACGCTCCAAGTAAAGCAGGGCAGCGGGGCCCCACGCGACGAGGGCCGGGGACAGGAAGGGGTGCGTGCTGCCCTCTGCCATCCTCCGTGTCTGCACACACTCAGAAACACCCAGCGCAGAGTGTCACAGAAAACCTGCCCGGGCTGACTGCCAGGGAGCACACGCAGGCGCCACGTTATTAGTCACTGAGGAAATGCACGCCACAGCCACAGTAAGACACCACCTCCCGCTCGCCAGGATGGCCGGACACAGGGACGGGGGGGGGGCGGGGGGTGAAAAATCGGAGCCCCAACGTTGCACACACAGCCTGGCCTCTTCTCAAACGGCTGAACAGTCCACGTGCGGTTCCGCCTTTCCAGCCTGAGCGACGTGTACCCGAGCCACATGCAGGCACGTCCGCACCAAAGCCGTACGCAGACGTCACAACCGCCAAAAGGAGGAACAACATGTGCATCAACCGACGGAGGGGGGAGCGGACCACGGTGATGCCCACACAAGGGGAGCCGTCCTGAGGCAAGAATCATGTTGGGCTCCGGGCAACAGCGTGTACGGAGCTGACACCGCTGTGCTGGGCAAGGGGAGCCACAGAAGGCCACGTGTGGACATGAAACCACGTGGAAGGAACAGGCAAATCCACGGAGACAGAAAGCAGGTGGCGGTGGCCAGGGCAGCAGGACAGCGTGTGGGGACGCTGGGGTGCACGGGGCTTCTCCACAGGGGTGAAAACCTGGCACGACTGTAAAGCTGTCAAACGCCACTGAATTGTATGGTGTCATCGGGGAAACCTCGTGGTACGTGGATTTTATCTGAATGTAAAGGTTTTTAAGAAACCGAAGTTGTTCTGCTTGCTGACGGGATCACAACGTTCATTCCAAACCCGTGAGGCCAGCTCACCTGATGTACGTTATTAAGCCCTTGCTGTATGCCAAGTCCTTTTCTGTGGCCTCCTTTGACCCTTGCCCTAACAACGAGGCCAGTGCACATGGCGTCGTTTGTGACCAGGCCACGGAAGGGCCTAACGCTCGGCCACGGGTCAGGCACAGCAAGTGAGCGGTCGGCAGATGCAGCGGGGCCTGCGTGCCCGCGAACGCCGCAAACACCACACCGCATGCACGGGTGCCTTCTGGCAAGAGTGTCCACGGCGCTCACGAACAGCTGAAGCCATGTGGCAGCCGCGCTGGGAGCTGCAGTCCGCGGAGCCCGGTCATGTGCCAGGGAGGGGACGGTCCTTGCTCAGCGTCCTGCCTGGGAGGACGTGGCCACCTCAGAGGTGAGGAAACTGAGGCACAGAAAGGCTGGCAGCTCACCGGACGCCGCAACACTAGAAGGCGGCCAAGGCCAGGATGGTGCCCGCGCTCTCCTCGCGGGACCGGCGGGAAGCCCTGGAGCCCCGGGGGTGTAAGTGCCCCAAAGTGACACGAGGTCCCAGCACCCGGGACACCATGGCCTGGAACGCACCCTGAGGTCCCCGGGGGACGGCACAGACGAGTGACTGCAGAGCGCATGCGCGGCGCCCAGGGCACAGCCAGTGCGGGGGGCCCGCCACCCCCACCCCCCACCCCCCACCCCCAGGGGCGCTTCCAGAGCCGCTGTGGGTCCCCGCGGGGGCGACCGGGTGAGGGTGGAGGCCTGACCTTGCTGACTTCTTGGAAGTGGTCCAGGTGACAGCCCATGAGGAAGGATGTGGGCGCCATGACAAAGTCCAGCATGTGGCGCGACAGGATGGGGGCGAAGGTGTGCTGCCACTGCAGGGGGTGCAGGTAGGCCAGGAAGCACTCGGCCACCAGGGGCAGCAGCGCCCAGCTGGACGAGAAGAGCACCACCCGCCGCTCCGTCAGCAGGCACGTCAGGATCTGGGGGGACCGGCCGGACCGTGAGCACCCCTCCCGCCGGGCGCCTCGCTCGCCACCCAGGCCAGGCGGAGGCGGCCTCGCCGCCTTTCCCTGCCCCCCGCTTGCCCAGCCAAAGCCCCTCTGACCCACAAGCAGCGTGCGCGGCGCTGACTGTCCGCTCAAAGCGAAACAGTGTTTCCAGGGCTTGCGGGACACCCGCGTGGAACCGCGCTCCACAGACGGCAGCCTGGGTGCCACGCGCGGCCAAGAGGCCGGGGGTCGAGGGCGCGTACCTGCAGCACCTTCTCGGGCCTGAAGCACAGCAAGGGCAGGTGAAGGTCCAGGTCGATGACGGGGCTCTCGGGGTCCGCACGGGAGGGGAACACGATCTGCAGGGGCTTCATGTTGAACACCTGTGGCGACACAGTCCCTCGTCAGCCCAGGGAGCCGCTCCAGCGGAGGCCGCAACCCTCCACCGGGGCTCCGAGCGTCCGCGTCAGGGTGCGCTTCAGGGGAGTCACGCTGTCACCTTACACGTCACAGAATACAAAGCTGTCTAGAGACAGACTGCTGATAAGGGCCCACAGGTAAATCGAGGCCTTAGTGTCCTTTCCCACCAAACTTTCCTAAACGCTCTCACTAATTAGCAAACTGTCCGCTGGCAGCGACGGGTGGGCACCCGGACGGCCGCCCAGTCAGCCAAGTTCTAAGTCAAGCACGTCCGGGTTAATCTTGGCTACTATACGGTTTTCTTATCACTCAGGTCACTGCAGATTACGATTCTCTCAGTATCTTCCATGTAGCTGCCAAAGCTCCTTTAGGACCTATAATTCAAGACGCTGTTGAGAAAGACTCTACTTTTCCAAACAATATGATTTTAAAACAACACGTCAGTTCAAAGTCCCTACACGCAGATGCCCCTGCTATGTTCACGGGCGTGGCCGATGGAGGGGGACAAGTTCGTTCCTGACCGTGGGTGTCAGCCTCGAGGGGGGGTTCCTGGGAGGCATGGGAGCCACCCGCACCCTGCAGCTCCGCGAACGCACAGAGACCGGAGCGCACGCCATGGCGGGAGAGGGCACGGAGAGAAGCATGAAACTGGAGGACAGAGAAGCTCTGACCAGGAAAAAGCGTGGAAGGATGACTAACGGAGCCACGTGGAGGACCAGGTGGCGAAGAAGGTTCCAGAACAAATGTCCGGCATCCACACTTCCCCACAGTGAGCTGTCGCACTGCTGTGGTAAGTGCACGCTCGTGTGAAAAACCTGCCGACAAGCACGGACTACTTTCTGCCTCCTGACAGCGCCTCCCTGTCACCTACCACTCTGGGGACGCAAAATGTGTGACTCGTGTGGACGGTCAGCATCCTCTCCGTGTGAAACACAAGTGAGAGGAGAGTTAAGTGCTCTCGGTTGTGGGGGTGCCTTGTGGTTCAGCTCATTGAGCATCGACTCTTGGTTTCAGCTCAGGCCGTGATCTCATGGTTTGTGAATTCGAGCCCCACATCAGGGTCCATGCTGATGGTGCAGCGCCTGCTCGGGATTCTTCCTCTCTCTCTCTCTCTCTGCACCTCCCATCTTGCTCTGTCTCTCTCTCAAAATAAATAAACTTACTTTTAAAGGTGCTCTAAGTTGCAATGAACTTCTAATAATTGTGAAGTCTATGTGAAAAACTCCCCTCAATATTTCCAAAAATAACCATGTCAGGCAGCTTCCCAGCTACAGAGAGAAACTAGACACAGACGCTGGGGGCTCAGCCCCTGGGACGCGTCCACAGCTGCACCAGTGACCTCAGGGCACATGGGACCCACACCCGGGGAGCTGGGAGCTGTCACCCGCCCACCTCACCAGTGAAGGAACGGAGGAAGGAGACAGAGCTCAGGTACAGGCTTCCAGATTTCAGCCTGACTGGAGCCCAGAGAAACAACAGATTCCACACACAACGCAACACAGGAAGGGGGTCAAGTACAGTGGGAGGAAAGATACAAGTCTCACTGCGCACACCCAGTGATGGCCACGATCCGCGAGCTCGTAAAGTAAGAACCGCTGGCGGGCGCAGAAGCGCGCTGGGCCCAGGGACGCGGGCTCCCGGGGGCTGTGCTGCGCTCGGGCCACTGGTCCAGGTGCCGTCCGGGAAAGGGCACGGACCAGACATGACCTGGCCCCAGAGCAACGGGAAACTGCACCGGAGCCCAGGCGCTCGGCTCAGAGCACAAGAACTACAGCTGCCGACTCCGAGCAGCAAGCAGAGCCTCTAGATGGACGTCCACTGGCAGCGGGTTCTGGAAAACACTGCAGAATTGCTTCTTGGCCGCTCGCACCTTTCCAGGACTGGGAACGGCCACAGTGCCACGACACTCCCTAGGACGGGTTGGGGCCACCGTGTCAGTGGGGACCCTGGGGCTACCAGACTCCTGGGGAGGGTCACAGCGGCAAGCCTGCCCCAGAGTTAGTCCATCCCAATGAACATGGGAAAACCAACACGCAGATCTGAACCCCAAACACTACTGGCTGATGCTTCGCTCAACAGCTGTGGGGGCAGCAGGTGCCGGGTACGGGGCCAGCCCTGCGTACGCAGCCCTGAAGGGGGCCCCCGTTCTTGTGCAGCTTGGAGTCGGATGGAGAAGACCGACACTGAACGAAGCACAAGCGTGCAGCACAAGCCCTAACTGCAGCCTGTGCTGAGCTCTGCAGGGAGGGAGCTGGGTGCGGAGAGAGACAGGGGTGGGAGGCCACTGAGCGGCTGTTCCAAAGCACCTGAGGACTGAGCAGGGGCTGGAAATTGGACAGCTGCACTTCCAGAAAGAGCACGCACAAGAGTCCTGGGGCAGCACCTGCGGGGGACGGAGGGAAACCCAGTGTGGCCAGAGAACAGTGAGCAAGGGGGTGAGGACACAAGGCAGAGCTGGACAGGGACACGGGGCCAGGGGCGCAGGGCTGGCTGAAGGCATACAGCAGGGAACCACTGTTGGGTTTTCAGCACAAAAGGAGAGTCCAGTGTACAGACTTTAACAATCTTTCTAGCCAGTTTGCAAAGGAGGAACTTAACGGTCAGGAATGGACGTGGCCAGAGCAGTGGTTCCTCAGGTCATTCAGTGGGAGAGGTTGGGGACCCGGCACGGGGTGGTGGCAGTGGACGTGGGCCCCTGGAAGCAAATGGCGGGTGCAGGCTGCACAAGGTTAGACGATGGAGGGCAAGCAGGGGTGAGGGTAAGAGACGTCCAGGACGACCCACAGTAAACGTTCTCACTGGGTGGTAAAAGTGGGAAAACCAAACACGAAATGATCCAAGATTCTGAGGCACAGAAAACTGGTACAGGCACTGTTTGTACATTACTCGTGTTCAAAGGCAGAACATGGTACACGCAGCTAATCCGCCAACAGTTCTGAGCTCAGTTCTGTTCACTACTTAGGTCCTCAGTGGACGCCTGTAGACTTTATAGAGCAAGACCGTGAACTTTGATGATTTCACTGTCCAATAAAAAATTACCACTTATCCACATGATAAAGAGGAGTACCTTGCAAACCACAAGTCCCCAGTAAGTATCCCTACAAAGGTTTCTGCGGGCAGAGCTGGGGTACTCAGGGACCTGCTCAGTCTTTGGGCCTGGAACGCATCTGGCAGGGTCCCCCCTACCATGCCCCCCGCAGACCATGGGGCTTAGGATGATATTAAAAATGTATATTTTAAGTTTATAACCACATTTCCTGCTAAGTAAAATTGATTTTTCTACCGTGAATAATAATCAAAATGTAGAGAACCAAGATTTGTCTGTATAATCTTCCAGAAGGGACTGAATGACAGAGTCAACACGTATGACCTGCTTTGAGATGCTAATCAGACAGACAGGGGTCTGTTTAAAAACAAGGAGGCGGAGGCGCCTGGGTGGCTCAGTCAGTTAAGCATCTGACTTCAGCCCAGGTCATCATCATGTGGTTTGTGAGTTCAAGCCCTGCATTGAGCTCTGGGCTGACAGCTCAGAGCCTGGAGCCTGCTTCAGATTCTGTGTCTCCCCCCTCTCTGATCCTCCCCTGTTCATGTTCTCTGTCTCTCAATAATAAATAAATGTTAAAAAATTAGAAAAAAAAAAAAAGGCTTTAGAAACAAGGAGACACCCTGCGGTTACGGGAGCCTAGAGAACACTGAGCCACACAGATGTCACCACGCCCAGCAGTCTGGCCCATTACTCAGCAAAAGGGGACCATGGGCTGCCTTTCTCCAGCCTGAAACCCTCGTGTGATAATGTAGCCGGCATCTTAGAGCGAGCACGCCAGGGAGCCCAGACCACGGACACGCCTGGCCGTTGGTTCGGCAACACGGTGGCGCCGGGGAAATGGAAAGTACAAAGCCAGCACTTTTCTTTAACCACAAAAGGGGCTCAGCACCAGCTCGATGCCCACTTGTCACGGGCCGCTCAGCAAACACCTTCAGAAACAGCATAACAGGATGATCCTGTGAGAGCTTGAGAATCATAATTTACACACGCTAAAACGTAAGCAATAACGTAAAACATTTAAACCGTCTCTATCACGTTACTTTTTCTATTTGCAAAACGAAAAGACAGAATTCCAGATTTAATTACCAAATGAAGTGGTCCAGGCGGCGGGCTAGGTATTAAAGATAGCTTTGCAGCAAAGTCTTTTATATGATTGTCAACTTCAAAATCTTTACAGAGCTTCAGATGAGTCAATAAACTAAAATTAAAAAAAAAAAAAAGATCAAATCACAAAGTAAGCATGAGCATCCGATGGTCATCCTTAGCATTTCTAATCAGAGCCAAAGTGTCTGCCAGAGCCGGCAGCTCCAGAACTTTCCACGACACAACTTGGATGTCAGGGTCTGGGTGTGCCCGGGAGGGGGCACAGGGGACTTGTGACATTTGGGAGCGTGGGGGGCTGGCCATGTTGTTTCTTGGTGTAAGGGCTGGCTACACAGGTGTGTCATTGGTGAAAAGTCACTGGAATTCATGCATTTTACTAGGTATCACACTTCGGCAGGGAATAAACACCTCACAGGAGTCTCCCAAACGCCTTCCGACTGTTGAAGTCCAGGACGTCCCTGAACAACGTGGGGGCAAAGGCGCCCAACCCCCACGCAGCTGAAAACCCGAGTTTAAGTTCTGACTCCTCCAAAACTTAACTGCTGACAGCCCTCTGCTGACCAGAAGCCTTACCGAGGACATGAATAATGGATCAACAAGCATTTTGTATGTTATGTGCCTTATCTGCTTACAATAAAGCAAGAGATAAAGAAAATGATTTTAAGAAAATCACACATTTACAGGACTGCACTGTTATTTGTTGAAAAAAAAAACAAAACCCTGTGCGTATGTGGGCCCCCAAGGTTCAAACAAACAGAGCTGTTGGAGGCTACGTGATTGTGATTTCAACATAAAAAGGACAGGCGGGTGCCTGGGGCAGAGGGGCGGGAGGCGACCAGAGGCCTGGGGCAGAGGGGCGGGAGGCGACCAAAGGGCTTGAGGGAGCTTAGGCGGGTGGTGAAAAGGTTCTGCGTCTTAACTGCGGTGTCAACATTTAACAAAACACCGCCAGCGGCCCGGACCCCCTGCATCAGTGCCCTGGGCAGACCCTGGCCCTGCCCACGGCCAGGGCCCACTTGTGCCCAGCAAGCCAAGCACTACAGCTTTAAGTAGCCAATCACACCTCCTCCTGGAGTCCTTGTCAGGATTTGGAGATAATTCAATACTCCCCATGGGGCGCCTGGGGGGCTCAGTCGGTTGAGCTGCTGACTTCAGCTCAGGTCATGATCTCAAGGCTCCTGAATTCGAGCCCCGTCAGATTCTGTGCTGTCAGCGAGGAGCCTACTTCAGATCCTCTGACCCCGTCCCTCTATGCCCCTCCCCAGCCCGTCCTTTCTCTTCCTCTCAATATTAAAAAACAAACAAACAAACATAAATTTGTGTTTATAAACTGCCTTTCGGGCTTCTGTCCTCTGCTTTTCTCTAGCTATGTTTTCGAGTTCCAACCATTTAGCACAGAAAACTTGAGAAGCAAGGAAAACGAACACGTTTTTCAGGTTAAGCGTACGTTTGCATTGATGTGGAGCAGGACGGGGTTTGCTGCCGGCCACACTACAAAGGGTCACCTGCTGAATGGACGACAGATGGGAAGACAGTGATGCAGCTACTACCTTCCTTAACAGGTGGGCAAGGTGTGGCCCTAACCCGTTCGTTCCGGATGAGGCAGGGTGTGACACCCATCCCCGCCTCACAGAACAGGAGACTGGAGAGACCAGGTGCTGAAGATGATCAGTTAATTAATAAAAAGGGACCGTGTCCTAATCTACCATTCTGTCCCCTCCCACGCCCAAGCAGCCCTTCATTAACGGACGTGCTTCCCCTCAACTCGCTCAACCCCCGGAGTTCTCTGTCGTACAAGGTATTTTATGTGTGTGGCGATAAAATGCAGGCTAGACCCAAACTGTGTCCAAAAACCAGCCAGGTTTTCCAAAATAAAACACGAAGGTGCTGGAATGTGAGTTACGAAGGTCGAAGGTCATCATCTTGATCGGACGGACTCCCACCCAGCCCTCTGGCCCCCGTGTCAGCACCAGAGTCCTGGCTTCTCCAGAAGTCTGGGATCTGCAGGGGTGGCTGGTGGGCATGACGACGGAAGGGGGACCAAACCACTGCCAATTCTAAGGCTGTCGTCTGGTGAGGATGGACACGAAACGGCCGGGGCGCGTGTGGCTGGGCACCCACCGTGTCTGTGCCACAGCCAGCCCCCCACGGGCAGCCAGCACGTGCCATGCGATGCTCTCTGGCTTTTTCAGAAATTCTCTATGTCCTCGGGCTTTCTCAATATCAGCACTAAGACGGTTAAAGATTCCACCCCCAAGAAAGATAATTTTTAAAATGTCAACGAACTCAACAGAAGTAACGGCAGCCTCCTGAGTTTCTCCAAGAGCTGGGAACGGGGCTTTTTCTCATATACCTCTTTTTGTTTTTTAAAAAGCCAAACATCAAATCCTATTCATTTTACTTCCAACAGTTCGGCTTCGTCCTCCCTCGTCTGGCAGACCTTCCCCACATGGCAGCATTTCCAGAAGCATCTGGAAGCTTCCAGGTGCTCCCGGGGCCTATCTGGGCCCGTCCCCCCCGCCCACCAGCGTGGGCGGCCCGTGGGCTCACCAGGACAGGCAGTCCTTGAGGGCGTTGTAATAGGGGAATCTGGACACCACGCACACCGCGAAGGGCACGAAGCAGCCCGTGGCGCCCACGCTCGGCCAGAACGGCTCCCGGTGCATCTTGCCGTTGTAGAAACAGGACTCGTCCTGGAGAGAAAGCCACAGGCACGCGTCACCTCTCGGCCCAGCTGGTCCCCGGGTCATACTCAGTAGTGACGGCGTCAGCAGGAATCGAGAAGCAGGGGCCAGACAGCCTCCCCCTGCTCCACCGGCCGCTGCTCCCTCCGGTGTCCCTGAGGGTCCCAGCCAGCGCGGACGGGCCCCTGGGTGCCTGTGAGGTGACTGGGGTGGCCGAGATGGCGAGACGCGCCCCTGCCTCGGGAGGGAAGGGGCGTGCAGTTAGAACACGGCAGACGCAGAATCGGCCATGGGCTCCACTTAAAGTGGGGGGGAATGCAGCAATGGGGCATCGTGTGTGTGCGTGGCGGGGGCGGGGGGCCTGAGCAGGAGAAACATCCAGCTTCCAGATTCCGGAAGGAACGGATCGCCGTGGAGCTTACAAGCAGCACATCACGGGGGCCGACAGCCCAGGCCCCAGTGGAGGGTTGTTTGGGGTTGACTGATTCTGAGAGACAGAGAGAGAGACAGAGGGAGAGACAGCGCCATAGCAGGGGAGGGGCAGAGGGAGAATCCCAGACCGGCTCCAGCCAGAAGCGAGTGCAGAGCCCACGTGGGGTTCAAACCCACGACCCTAAGAACACGACCTGAGCCGAAGTCAAGAGTGGGACATTTAACCAATGAGCCACCCAGGAGTCCCTGTTTGGGTTTTTTTTTAATAGGGACGGAGGGGTGGGGTGAGAGCTTCACTCTGGGACTCTGTGAAGGGAGGGCCCAGGAAGCAGTGGCCCCGCCTCTGCCTACCCACCCGCATCGACTGAACACCTGCTGCTCCCTCAGTGTGCTGTGGGCCCTCAGGCAAGCCACTTCACCTCTCTGTGCCACTGTCTGCTTCCTCATCTGTGCAATCCCCACCTCACTGGCTGTGGAGGGGATGAAACGAACAGCTTCACAGGGGGTCACGCCTGGCGCTGGGCTGCAAACACGCGGGCGGCTGGTATGTTAGGGTGTCTGGGAAGGGCTGGGATTTCAGTCCACGGAAAGATGGGGAGCGCACACCCCAAAACTAGGCAGGCGCTGAAGACGGAGCGGGGCCACGCACGCCCCAGCAGGCCGGTGGAGTCACCTGCTAAGTGCGCGGCGGCCACCGCCTTCTAAGAAGGTATTTAATGACAACACGGCTGGGCAGGGGCAGGCACTCGGCCCCCTCTGGTCCCCCACCCCAACCTGGCACGGGGGCCAGGCCAGCAGCGCCGGCCCCGCACGCACGACCGCGAGGTGGGGCCTCCGCGCGCCGCCCGCCCGTCGTGGGGGACACCAGGGGGCAGCGAAGGGAGAATAACCCGGGCAGCCACCTCCCTCTCTGTGCGGAATTCACCGACCGCCTCTGCTTCTGGAAACCCTCTGGACACAGACAGCTGATACCCCGTGTCTTCAGGTCCGTGGCGGCGCCCACGAGCTCCCGAGGGGCCGGCTGGCTCGCACACGGTGGCCCTGCCCACGCCCCTGTGGCCCAAGCCCGCCCCCTGCACAGAAGGCGAGGGGCGGACAACCCCCGTGTCTGACTGCAGACGGGCAGGTACACCAGCGGCGGCCCACACTCCGCCCCGCGCAGGAGGACTCGCCGCAAGCGCAGGACGGGGCTCCTGTGTGGCTGGACGACACACTGAGTGGAGCAGCGAGACAAAGGCCACGTGCAGGGCAAGTCCACACGAGGTGTCCGGAGCAGGCACGTCCAGGGGGGCAGACAGCAGACGCATGGTGGCCGGGGCCGGGGGCTGGGCGGTGACTTCTGGGTGAGTGGGGCGCACGGCACTGAGAGTGCGCTCAGTGCCACGGATTCCTGCACGTGACTGACACGTGTGTGTGGCTCCGCACGGTCGCGAGCACTGGGACCCGACTGGGGAGGGGTCCCGGGAATCACGTACGTGCAGGGGTCGGTAGTACTGGGCAACCACGCCATACGTCCTGTCCCCGCAGACGTCGGTCAGCACCAGGAAGTGCACGGAGTCCTCCTTCGGTTCGGAGGCCACACACACGCCCCCTGCGGGTGGAGAAGAGGAGCTCTCGCCACGGCCCCCCCCACCCCCCACCCCCCGGGGCCCCGGGCTGGGAGCCTGCGCTGCCCGCCAGCGCGCACTCCCGCCTGCGGGACTTGCCCTGCCCTGCGGCCGTGAGGCTCTGATGCCAAGATCCGCTGCCGCTGGGGCTCAGTCCCTCCACGCACCCCCTTCTCGGCCGCCCCTCCGTGCTCTGCAGAATTTAGCAAACAACTCGGGCACAACCACAGACAGACCCTTCAGGGTGCACCTGCGGGAGCCGACGGTTCCTGAGCACGGCAGGGGCTGGGGGCCCGGGCTGTAACCCCCGGGACCGGGAGACAGCGCCCATTTCTCGGTGGACACTGCCAGGCAGGGAATGGCAGCAAGTCCCGCGGCTGCGCTCTCTACAGCCCCTGGGGCGTTTCTCACCGGCCCCGGAAAGAACAAAGGCCGCCCACTACCGGGACCGCCAGTTTGGGGAAGGGGTACAGCCCAGGCCGCCAGCCCCGGGGGACAGGAAGCAGGCGCTGTGGGGAGGCCGGGAGGTGCCACGGGCTGACTGCACGTGATTCTGACCGGCCTGCCAGAAGTCTGGAAGATGGGACTGCAGATCCAAGGTGAAAATCCTCGGGAAGCATCGACAAACTGTGCCACCTGGCAATCCCGATACCCCCTCTTCTGGGATCCAGTTTTCTGAGACCTGGAGTCAGCACTGAGTGGCCTGTGCACCCTTGAGCCCCAAGACCCCTGCACTGAGTGGCCTGTGCACCCTTGAGCCCCAAGACCCCCAAGATGAAGAGAACCCAGTCTCGTGGTTCGGCCTCAATGTTGCAAGCGGTCACCAGCCCCCGTCACACTCTCCAGAGGTGGCTTCTAGAACGCACCATCAGTGTGGTTGGGAAGTGCAGCGGGGGGTACCTGGGAAGCAGAGCTGAGGCAGGGCGAGCAGGTCCACGCCGTTGGGGACGCTGACGTCTTCGGGAGGAGGCCCCTTCCCGGGCTCTGTTTTGGGCTTCTCCCTCTTCTTCCTGAAGGAGCGCCTTCTGGTCTTGCTCAGAGTCGCACAGTTGGCCCCGGCCACCTGAGTGTCCTCCTTACTGACGAAAGGAGGCACAAAGATGGACAGGACTTCCGGGTCGAGAGAAGAGAGGCTGCTGACCCCCTTCCTCCGGGCCACCTGGGGCGGGCAGAAATAGGAACACGTCCTCGCTCTGTCGTGCGCCTTCGTCTGGGCGCCCACCTTTGCTCCTGTTCCCCGCTACCCGCCAGCCTCCACCCCCGGCACCGGCTCCCCCCGGGGAGTGTGCGCAGCAAGGGCGGCACCGAAGCTGCTGTTGGGGACCCCTCGGGCCTCGCGGTCAGGCGAGTCACAGCACGGAGAGGGCCTGGCTCCTGGCGGCGACGGACGGGGGGAGGGGGGTCGGTGTGACACAAAGTGCCCACTTCGGAGCCAGGTGTCAACAGGTGGACCCGAGTTCAGATCCAGTTCTGCTAAGGCTGCGTCCAAACTTCCCTTTCAAGAGGTGACGTCGCAGGTCAGTGCTCACCCCCCACGCCCCCACGCCAGCGGCCCCGGGGCCCTCACAGGCTGGGGAGGAGGGCCCTGCGCGCCATCCGACCAGTACAAACGGGGTACCGACGCCACATCCCCCGCCAGCGGTCCTGGCAGCCCTGGCCTGGGGACACAGGCTGAGGGGTCAGAAAACGGACCGCTGGCCCCTCGGGGTCGATGCCAGGGCTGTCACCCGGCCCCAACACTCTAAACACTACCTTGCCACCACATTTTTAAAAAGCCTTCTGTCTCGGGACACCTGGGCGGCTCAGTCAGTTGAGCGTCTGACTTCGGCTCAGGTCATGATCTCGCGGTTCGTGGGTTCGAGCTCCGTGTCGGGCTCTGTGCTGACAGCTCAGAGCCTGGAGCTGCTTCGGATTCTGTGCCTCCCTCTCTCTGCCCCTCCCCTGCTCACACTTTGTCTCTCT